TGACCACTCGACAGTACAACAGCTCTCAGTTCAGAATCCCATCTTCTCGCTATAATTTCTCCACCTCAGTCCTTCTCCCTCCTTGTTGACCCACCTACTCCATTTCCAGCTTCTGCTACCAGCTCAACCCCCCAAAACCCAAACAAAAGGTTTAAATGGGTCAATTGACATGGATCAATTATTACTTTTAATATGATCCTTGTTTATGCTTTCTCCAACTTGCTTGGCTTGCAGCGTGAAGACTTACGTAAGGTAAGATTTTTTTAGGATCTTTGAAACAATAAAACATTACTTGACACAGGAATGCATACAGAAACCATCTGACTTGAAAAGTCCATGCTAAAAACAAAACCTTTTGTTTAGATTGCAAGAGCATGAAGAAATATCTAAGACTTCAATCCTGCAAAAACTTATGTGGGCAAGCAACTTAAGGCCCCCAAGCCTTCCCATCAAACTCAGTGGGAACTCGCCTGAGTAGAATTACTCATGTGCATAAGTGTTTCAAGATCAGGCCCCAAATTGGTAAGCATTTTACATCCTCATAATCTGTAGCACAAACAGTTATTTATTTAATAAAACAAATGAAATAAATAGTTGGAAGGTTTTAAATATCAAACACTCCTGGAGTTTGTGCAAATGCATCATTCACTCTGAGTCAGGGTGGATCTTGCATCTTGATTTTCAGATTCAGAAAAATGCAAGAATTCAAAATATACCACCAAGCTTCACTTGGTTTTGAAGCAAAACCATGACTCAACTTCAGGTTTCTCCAACACCGGGCTCAGTGCCAAGAATGGTTGTAAATGTTGCAATGTTTTCAGGCTGAATCTGGAATACCATGGCTCTGATCCTTATGGTGAGGTCCATGTGGGTGGATCCCTGCACCCCATGCCCCTCAAATGGGGCTATGCACAGGCACAGCGGTCTGCCTATATGGAGCTTGTTGCAATTGTGGGGTTCAAGTTTGTAATGAAACCTCAAGCTCACCAAGCTGTTCCTGTTTTGTTAGCACCATACGCAGCTCTGTCTAGTTCTAACCTTCAACGAATTTCACCACGGAGTACATATTTATAATCAGGTTATAACAGAAACCTGCCCTTATAGTGACACAGCCAAAGTTGGAAGGCCTCAGACATAACCAGCTTTGAATCTAGATTGTGATTTAAACCACCAGCCCCAGGCCTGGACCCTTGCATGGGCTAGCCAGGCTTTAAGTCTGGGGGCAGAGAAATAAGATGGTGCTACATTCGTGTTTACTTCCCCTGGAGCAGGAGAGTGGAAAATAAGCACAGCCTTGGTTCCCCTGATTAACACAGCTAAGAGTTCACTTGAGTAATTCTACTCTTCCGGAGCTGCCCTCAGCTGCTGCTGCCTACTCGTTTTCTCCAACATGGAGGAGCATGACAAAACACCCAGCCTCAGAGTGTTAATAGAGCCACAGTCCTTGGAGCAGGAGTGGGGGAGCAGAGACCCCCCAGAGCTGACACAGATGCACTGCTTCTCCACATAGTCTCCTGCATCTCTTAGAGAGACCCATACAGTCTGGGAGCAGCACCCACTTCCTGATCCAGAAGTGGCATCCCCCTCTCTTCCCTCTTCCATTGAAACAGTGAGATAAATACTAAAGCCCTATGTGCCTCCACTTCAGCCTAATGGCATCTGCTCAGCTCCTGATTGTGCAGGGCTTCCAAAGACTCCCTCTGCTACCCGATGTCAATGGACACCATGCTTCTCTTCCCTTCACCTCCCCTCCTTTCAATTCACCCCGGCTAACTCATCCCATCCCTGCCATTCCCATCTCTTCCCATACCTTGGCAAGCCAAAAAGAAAATAAAAGAATCTTCTATAAATAAAAGGAAAGAAACACCCTCCCCCACCCCAATTTGATATCTGTGTATAATCAGGGAGCTAATAGGACATATTCCGGTCATCACCCTAATCCTTCTGTCCTGATCTGTACATGAGTGCAGGCAGTTATCGGATAGGGGCTTTAGTCTGTCTTTGGCCTCCAGCCTGCAATGAGCTTTATGCAGACCTTGCCGCCTGTATGGAATTCATTGCAGAAGAGGGCCTTAGCTTGTAATCTCTTCAGGGTGAGTGTCTTGCTATGTGTTTGTACGGGGCTTAGAATGGATCTGGATGCTGATTGGTGCCTTTGGGGTATTACTGTATAAGAAGGAGCAATAATACTTCTACTTGTATTCTTTCCAGTTGTTCACTACTTTGATTATTATTTATTTATATTGCAATAGCACCTAGGAGCTCTGGTCATGGACCAGTGTGCCAGGCCCTGTACAAGTACAGAACAAATTACAAGTTTCAGAGTAACAGCCGTGTTAGTCTGTATCCGTAAAAAGAAAAGGAGTACTTTGTGGCACCTTAGAGACTAACAAATTTATTAGAGCATCAGCTTTCGTGAGCTATGCATGGATGCATCCGATGAAGTGAGCTGTAGCTCACGAAAGCTGATGCTCTAATAAATTTGTTAAGTCTCTAAGGTGCCACAAGTACTCCTTTTAAAACAAATTACATTATTATAGTGGGGTCAGGGTCTGATCCTGGAAGTTATTTGTATTACCATTACTATAATTACTTATTTTTACCGTTGCTGCCCTAATGAGCTGCACAGATGACAAATGCTGTGTTAGAAAGCTTAAGAATATGATGTTTATGTGGAAGAAATTAATCCCATGTCACTTTGTGCATCTGGCTTTGTTTGCTCTATCATTCCCCCTTTTGACTTAGTTGCTCATTTGTCTCTTTCACGTCAGCATTGCCAACCCCAAGTGTTCAAAAATCACAACTTGAGGCACCAAAATCAGGAGATTGGCTTAAAAATCACTGTATTATAAATGTAATTTTGATGGGTTTTTTAATTCTTCCAATGTTTGAGCCTCCTGGGGGTCACATTTTCAAGCTTTTCTCTGCAATTATCAGGACTAAAAACTTAACTTTTTTTTAAAGTGGAAGCTGAGATGCTTACATAGTCACATGACCCCAGGAGTTGGGTTCATGAGAAAAACACGAAATATGAGACTCAACAAAACTGAAGATGGCTGAAAGTTTTACTTCAGTGCTAAGGTGGGTCTGAAACAGTCTTTTTTATGACCAAGGGGTTATGACCACCCTGCTCTTTCCATAGTGCTAAATGGAAAAGAGTCCTAGCTAGATAGGAGGGAAGTCTCAGAGGTGGGGATGTTCTAATATAGCAAATCCAATGAGTTAACAGTGACTATGTTCAACAGAAGCAAAGAATAGGTGGAACTAAGCTGCATTAGTTTAGAATAATTAAAATGAGACTGGACAAAACTCTCAGGTATCAAACCGATGCATGATACATATAGACAAGGCAAATAGCACTACAAATGCACAGTAAGGCAGAAATTCTCAAAGTGTGGTCTGTGGAGTATTTGCTGCGAGTTGTTTTAGAGAGCTGGCTGATCACATGAGTAGAAGGATGGTCTGGTGGTTAGAGCACAGGGCTGTGATTTGGGACACCTGGGTTTAATTCCGTGATTTGTCACAGATTTCCGGTGTGATCTTGGGCATGCTGCTTAGTCTTTCTGTGCCTCAGTTTCCCAACTGTAAAATGGACTTAACAGCACTGCCGAACTTCACAGGGGTATAGTGGGCTAAACAGATTCTGAGGTGCTCAGATACGAGGGTAAAGGGAGCCATATAAATACTGAAGATAGATGTTGCTAGCACTAAGAAAAGGAGTACTTGTGGCACCTTAGAGACTAACCAATTTATTTGAGCATGAGCTTTCGTGAGCTACAGCTCACTTCATCGGATGCATACCGTGGAAACTGCAGAAGACATTATATATACAGAGACCATGAAACAATACCTCCTGCCTCCTCAGTTCTATGTGTTGGATTGTTTTTTTTTTTTTTTGGTTTATTTTAAAGTTTGATGAAATTAAAAATAATTGTCATTGTTCTTCTACCTGTTCTATTAAATATCCATGACACATTTCCCCACTGTTCCTTTACCTTGTAAAATAATTGTAGTTTCCATGGGGATGTTACTGATGATGAATGGGGTAGTGGGAGAGGCTGCTTTGCAGGACTGTGAATGGAAGAGGTGGTGGCTCCTACTGGAGCATAGACAACTTTTTTGCGGGTGGGTAGAGTTAACATATAAAATAACTGTTGAATCTCACTTTAATTAGTAATATTTTATTATGACTAAATTTGTCCGCTTGTAATACAGCAAAATAAACACGCTTCTATTCCAAACTAAGTTTTCTTCATTTAATAACTAAATCCTGAAATTTTTAGCAGGGATAAAGCCCCTTCCTAGCTCCCAGTTGTCTATATCCTTGGCTCTAAGATGATTTCTGAGTTCAAATGTTGTGAGGCAAGGTGCATGGGGTATTATCTTTTATTGGATCAACTTCTGTTGGTAAGAGAGACAAGCTTTTGAGCTTACACTGCGCTCTTCTTCAGGTCTGGGTTCTGTGTAGCTGGCAATCTTGTCTCTGTCGCTAACAGAAGCTGGTCTAAGAAAAGATATTACCTCACCCACTTTGTGTCTCTAATATCCTGGGACCCACAAGCTTACAACACTGCACGCTTAAAATGTGGCAAACACACTGATCAAATCTGGTCTTGTCCTGGGAAGGAAATAGGTGGAAGGGGCCAGGTTATCAAAAGTGCCGCGCTTAGCACCCATAATTGGAAACCGATTTTCAAAAGAGCCCCCCAGGGGAGCTGGTGAAAGCTGAGCCCAGCACTTCTAAAAATCAGGCCAACTTCCATGGGGAGCCTAAATGGAAGCTACTGAGTAAGGGGGGCAGTTTGCCTAGTAGTAGCCGAACTTGCAGGGTTCTCTGAAGGGGGGAAACACCCTCGCAAGGGCTGCCAGCGAGAATCAGAGCCAGGCAGCCGCCCGGGAGGTGCCGAGACCCAGCCGCACACGCCCAGGGAGCCTCCCGGGAGGTGCCGAGACCCAGCCGCACACGCCCAGGGAGCCTCCCGGGAGGTGCCGAGACCCAGCCGCACACGCCCAGGGTGCCGCTTGCGAACAGGGGGCGAGCAGGAGTCTCACCTGATTCTGCGCTGCAGTTCCCAGGCTCCAGCCCAGGGCCGGTCAATAAAACAAAGCAGAAAGTGCGTTGCGGAGCAAACCAGGGCCGGCTCGGAGCCTGGCCTGCGAGGCTGCCTTGTGCAGGGCTTTCTGGCATGTGGCTGGCTGGGGCCAGGCACCATCTCTCTCCCTCCCCCCCGAGCTCGGGAGATCAGATGCTGACTTTGGGAGTTCCTCCTATTCCTTGTATGGAAAGCGGCTCCCCATAGGGCTCGCCGAGACTCATCTGACACCTTCCCCCGCTGTGACTTTCCCCAGCTTCCCTTTTCTTCTTGCTCGTAGCAGGGAAGCAAAGGAGAAATCTCCCAGCCTCTGCTGCTTCCCACAACTCACCCGCTCCAGCAGCCCCCACGCCCGCCGCCTCCGCCTCCTCCCTCCCCTCCCCTCCCCTCCTCCGCAATCGGGAATAAATCAGAGGAGGAGAGACCCAGGCACGCCAGAGCGAGCGGAGATCTGTTCCAAAAGTAGCCCTGATGGCGGCGGATCGGATGGAGCCGGAGCTGCTGCTGGAGTAGCGGAGAGCCCCCTGGATCCCCCGCTCCACCCACAGATCTCAGTCGGTCTCCTCCCCACCCTCCGCTCCGCTCCCTGCTGCTGTGCCCATCGCTCGGAGAAGGGGGGGCACTTTAAAAAAACAAAACAACCCCCCACTCATTTAATTTTATCATTTGTTCCGTCTCCGTGACTGGGGGATCGATCTTCGATCAGGAAGATGGCTGCTGGCTGGCTGCTAGTCTTCAGTCTGACACTTTTCCAGTCCCTGGTGATGAACCTGTCCTCGGAAGGACCGTTCCCTTCTGCCTCAACGTAAGTCCCACCTGAGTTTCGGTCTGGACTGATATATATATCTATATATATATAGATAGATATATTTTTAATTGGGTGGTGGGGAAGGAAAGCGTTTCACTGAGAAAGTGTTTGTGTGTTTGGGAGAGGGTGACGACTGTAATTTGCAGGAGAGTTCTTCCTGGGGGTTGGGGGAGCCCTGATAATAAAGTGGTAATTGGGGTACACTGCAGGATTTTGGCTGCTTTTCTTTTAAAGATCCAGGCTCTCCAATAGATGGTCACCGAGAAGAGAGAGAGAGAGGAAGACCAGGGAGAGCCAAGTACTGTACTTTTGAGTCAAGGGATTGGCATGAGAGCAACACTCAAGAGCAGATCCCAGTCTCTAAATATACCCCCAGCAGTTTAGCTGTGCTAAGAGGAAAGTTTCTAGTTGCACACATTCCCCTCTCCCCGCCCCCACCAACTTCAGTGGTTATTTGTTTGCCTGGAATTTTAACACTTTCTATATTTTAAAAATACTGTATCAATTTTTCTTTTAAATAAAAGATGCATGAAATCCGTGTCCCTGCCTTTCCCATGCATGTTTCCAAGACAATGTTATTTTACTTTTTGGATGAAAATTTTAAATGTACGTATGTGCTTCTTTCTACTTGGATCTCCTCCAGTTCACAACATGAATATTTTGACAGTTCCAGGGTTTGTTTTGTTCATATGGTTTTGTGTGTGCATGCATGTGCAAAAGCAGACTTTTTTGCAACATGAGTAAAGTAGCAGTGTTTTCATGCAGACTCTCAAAGGGTAGCCTTCACAATAATTACTTAAGGGGATTCACCTTTACACCTTTAAGAGAAATATTCTTAATAATAGCGGTTTTATGTTGCACTGTTTTGCATGGATGTAATAGAAAATTGTAAAGCGTTTCATGTTAATAACTGTGCAAGTGTTTCTCTGAGCAAAGCAAGGATCACCTGAGAAAAACAGCCCAATATGTTATGTTTTTAGTTTCAGCCAGACACAGGACAAGAAACAATGTGGACTAATGACCACATTTTCTTTTTAGAATTACTTACTTTAGTTCCTGGGTTAAAACCTGTCATTAGATAACTTTATGTGGATGGCTCACTTTAATGCATTTTACATAAGAAAAACAAAGCTAAGGGTAGTCTTCTGTGGTGTTTGATGCTGAGCAGAATTTACTGTCCGAACTCATTCTGTACAGGAGATTTCTGTGATTACAAGTAGTGCTTTTCCACCAATTAGTGCAGCTGGTGTGTTAGGTGTGTTTCACCAATTAGTTTTCTGTGTTGGTTCCATTATGTATTGGAGCAATGCTAAAAGGATGCACATAATGGTACAAGAAAGAAAGGGATTAAGAAAGATAACTGTGTAACCACTTAATATCTTTTAGACTATATAAACGATGCCTTGACTTTTCATTTTCATTTACTTTTATTTTCTTGCACTGAAAGAGTTACTTACAAAGATGTGCTGTGTAAAACAAGAAGAGTTAACTAAAAATAATGCTAGGATACCCATCTTTTAAATCCTTGCTACTCTTAGACTTCAACATCCGAGATCAAAACACTATCTCTTAGTGAATTGATAGATCATGTTATACACAATTATTCACAATTGATCTTCTTAAATTTATCTAATTTATAAAAGGTAAAGAAATATGGAAACCAACATGATGGAAAGCAGATACTATAAAGCTCATGAAAGCTTATGCTCAAATAAATTGGGTAGTCTCTAAGGTGCCACAAGTACTCCTTTTCCTTTTTTATAATTTCCAAGTAGAATTATGGATCTCTTTTTACTGTGAGATACTTTGTTTTTAAATCTTAGTAGTCCACTCAGTTCATATTTGCTTCTTAACTTCACAGTTACTCTTACTATTCATGATGATAAGAGCAAACATCAGCAGAATAAGGTATTAGTTAATCAAAGAACTTTAATGATAAGGAGTGCACAATAAGAAATATCTTTTCTCTTGGTTAACAGCATTTATATGTTCTCCCATATCTACTTACTGTTTTTTGTTTTTTTTTTAAATCAAGCCATTAAAATATTGTAGAAAGAATCTACAGTGTCTGCCTATCCTTTATAATAATGTATTTCCTCTCTTAAATGAAATCAAAGAGCAAATAAGTCTCATTTCATTTAGGAGACAGTTCAGCAGGCTGGTAGGAGGGCTTGTTTTGCAAAAGTAATGATGTAACAGGTGAAGCCGAAAACAATGCTAGGATACTGCTTTTAACAACTGCTAGTGTAATGATATTTTGCTCACCAGTGTATAGTGTAAATGGGGAAGAACAAAGTGAAAATGACACAAGTGAAAATGTCCGTGAGTGTAAATCATTTTTGATGTAAATACTAGTAGTACCAAATAGAAAAAATGACTGAGGGGGTGGAAAGAAAAGAAAGGGATACTAATAGTTTAAAACCAAAGGCAGTTTAATGCCTGATATTCACATTCATCTACAAGTATTTTCCCAATATTTTTGATATGCACCCCTCTCTTTTATCATTTATTTGAAAAGTTGGTGTTAGGCGGCATTTGAATATTGCTTGGTTGGGTGTATTGTAAATAAAAAAATTAGCATATCCAAGGCTACATAGTTGTAGATTTCATCAACAATTGTTTCCCACCCCATTACTCTGTGAATTTTGCATCAGTTAATGCCATTCTTATGAGATGTATCTTTCCTGCAGAACTCAAAGAACTCATGTAATCAATACAGTGATATAAAAATGTTATCTTTTTTGGTAAAGAAAAACCAAAAAGCTGTCACTAGTGCCTCTGAGATAGAATCTCAGGCATTTGATCAATTTCACTACTTTGGCTTTGATATGTTTACCCAGCAAAATAGGGGGAGTCAGCTTATTAGAAACATCTATACTGAATGAAATAGAAACCGGAGCTGTTCATTCAAAATCAGAAAATATGGTATAGTCACATAGTGCTGCAAACAGCCAATGTTAGAATATTTTAAACAGATTGAGGAGTTTCTGTATTGGGAAATGTAGGCATATTGATAGATATAACTTGATCTTTTGATATAAGATTTGACAACTGATCAATATATATTGCACATTTCGTTAAATATATCATTTTCACTGTGTCAGAATATTAAGGAATTATACAGTGCACTAAAATATACAGTGGTCTCTTATGTTTCGATTTCCAGTAATTCAGTCATATGTGCAACATTGCATACATTTTTGCACTTGTATGAGAATATTTTTTTTGTATGGAAGACCTATTATACTTTAACTGAACTGCTGGTAAAAGTACACAATGCATTTCTTTCTTTCTTGTCATGTATGTACATTTAATGACTATATGTATCTAAATACAATATTTTAATGTATTTTTTAACTTTATTTATAAGGACAGCATAGCACACCATTGGTGCTACATGAATAAAATAACAGTAATAGAAACAAAATAAGCCATTTTAATTTCAGATTTTTTTTTAAACAGTCATACTTTTTATATCAACTAAAAAGCAGTGATTACAGTAGTGTTGATATTTACAATAACACTGATTAACATAAAATGTAAATATGTACTCCATGCATTGAGAGGACTAACTTGGATATTTTGTTAAATAATTTAAAACGTAACAGTTAAGTGTTTGACAAATTTAGGGTTGGATCCTATTAAATTCAATCGGACTGCTTTTGTGTATGTGTTTGCAGGACTGGTCTCATAGTTTGGTTCTGTCAAATCCTTTTTAAAATTTTCTTTCCTTAGTTCTCTCTTTTTATGAAAATGACTCTCTCCTAATGTTTGGTTTTTAAAATAGGAAGTATAAGTTCATGACATAACTGAGACAGACTTTGTCTCTTCAAATGAATTACAAGATTTATTAATAAAAACAACGAGAAGTCCTTGTGGCACCTTAGATACTAACAAAATTATTTGGGCATAAGCTTTCGTGGGTTAAAACCCACTTCATCAGATGCATGGAGTGAAAAATACAGTAAGTAGTATATAGATTACAGCACATGAAAAGGTGGGCATTGCCATACCAAGTGGAGGGAGGGTCAGTGCTAGTGAGGCCAATTCAGTCATCGTGGAAGTGGCCCATTCCCAACAGTTGACAAGAAGGTGTGAGTATCAACAGAGGAAAAATTGCTTTTTGTAGTGACCCATCCACTCCCAGTCTTTATTCAGGCCTAATGCGCTGCAATATATATACTGCCTACTATATTTTTCACTCTGTGCATCTGATGAAGTGGGTTTTAGCCCACAAAAGCTTATGCCCAAATAAATTAGTTAGTCTCTAAGGTGCCACAAGGACTTTTCGTTGTTTTTGCTGATACAAACTAACACAGTTACCACTCTGAAAGATTTATTAATATTATTCAGAATATGTAAAATGTGTGAGAATAACAAGGAAATCGTGCATATACTTATAGACAAGTAAACATTTAGTAAATAAAGGTCTAATCCTGCAAACACTTACTCATATGAATCACCCTTATTCTCTTTTATGTCATTAGGATTACTCATTGAAGTAAGGATGACACACATGAAAGGACTGGGATCTTTATCTTTTGGTTTTTGCACATGATTCTACCAAGTGTAATCGTACCATTAATAACTCTACAGGCTAGACTTGATACTCTGTATCACTTTCTGTATTAAATGATTACTGACAAAGGGTAGACAGAAGTCATGCACAGTGTGTATTTTAAATGTGCTGATAAACTTCATTCTAACACTTCCAGTATAACGATTATTTGATCCTTTTTATTAAAAATTTTTTGATAGCAAAATATCCTATTTAGCTTTGAAGCTAGTTGTAATATATCAAGTACTAGCCCTTTTGAAAATAGCATTGTTTTCATATATCCAGAAATACTCTGCCATAAAAAATACCCTACTGATGTGAACCTTCATGTAAATGGAACAGAGAGAGGGAGCCAAAAGATGTAATGTACTTAGAAACAGGGAAGGGAAGTATCACCTCTTGGTGTGTTCTCAGCATCATGTGTCTGAGTGCCAAACAC